TCGGATGATTGACTTGAATCGGGTGATGATTGTTGGACAACACGGTTGTTGTGGTGGTTGGCGGCGGCTGTAATGGCGGATGCATTTGCGTGGCGTTGGCGGTCACGTGTGCCAGTGTTTGCGACGGCTGTTGGGCGGCCTGTGTCACCATCGGAACCGCTGGCGTGGGTTGGGTCGCAGCCGGTGGTGCGGCAGCTGCGGCGGCGGCCGCGGCAGCCGCTGCCTCTTTGTTGGCGGCGGCGTTACGGCCGCCGGCGTTGTTGCGGTTCGAGTGCTTCGTTTGGGTGACGGGTTCGGGTTCGCGAGCGTTGGTGTCCACGGCTTTAGTGTCGCTGATCTTTCGTTCCCACATCTGCTTCAAGTCCATCAACACCTGTTCGTCGACGCCGTCGTCCAGAAACGACTCGCGGACGCCATTCAGCACGTCGTCGATCACCGCGCGGTACAGCTTGTGCTAAACGGACACACAATTAGAGTCAATACATGTTTCGTATACTTATATGAGGCGAGAGGGGAAGGGAGGGGAGAGACAAGTGGTACTATTCTTCGAGATATCAACTCATGAGTTAAGAAAAAGCTTTTAATAACATATAATTACATGTATTTTATAAATACATAATTAAAAAATAGTTAATAAGTTATTATTTTATGTTTCACTAAATTTCATACAAAGCTATAAATTATAATGACTTTGTATTTCAATTAAAATTTATAATTAATTGCACTGTTTTTGAGGCAATAAATTATTGATTTATGAAAAGTTTGCTTTCAATTAACGTCAAAAACAAATACCAAAATGTGATGTTTGTAACAAAATTTTGTTTTATAAGTTTTACTAAATTATAGTTAATATAAAACTATTAACCAAAAAAACCAATTGTTTGACTATAAAAATATTTGTAAAAACATTTTTGCAAAAAAAAACTATATTTTATTTCATTTGTTATTTGTTTTTATTTCTCTGTTTTATTTGATTGAAACATATTTTGCAACAAAATTACATTAAATACCAAAAAATAAAGTTTTATTTCATTAAAATACAGGTATATATAGGAAAGCCTACATTAAACCACAGGCTATACATCCAGTGCTATATAGATATTGGCATTAAAATTAAATTGTCATTAAATTAATGGTTAAATCATTAGTTGAAAAATTCCCTTAAAAATGGTTATTTGTGTGAAAACACTCGTCATATGAATTACACATTGTTTTCAATACTAAACATACAAATAACTAATGATATGAATGCTGTCATCGGCGGTGATCATAGTTTTATTGCTAAACATTAGCCACTAATACATAGGGAGAGTGTATGGGAGAGGGAGTGAGAGATAACACTCTGAAGGACTCGTATTTAAGCAATGGTTAAGAGATAACAAAAAAAACTTATATACAGTATAGGCTTGAAAATAGCGCAACAATATCTATAATAACAAGCATTAAACCCATTGACAACTTAATCGCGACACACAGTACTACTAATAGCACTATCTATAGATAGCATAGACTGTAGGCTGCGGTGTATGTAATAAACCCATTGAAAGCCATAGCATATCTAAGCGTACAATACGTTGCCATTAATGGTATAGTTATAGCGTTTGGGTGTCTCCGGGTCTCTGTATGACCGGTGGTGTGAATGGTGTCTAACCCAACACTTACCACATTGGCTGCGGCGGCCATCGGACACAATGCTTGGGTCGGCGCGAGTTTGTGGGCCGAAAGTGATCACTCAATTTAGGCACTGATTTGGGCACTCAGTGTGTGATGTCTTGGGCTTCAGAGCCAACGTTAACGCACGACACGAGCTCTTTATATACGCCAACAAAACACTCACTAAAGTGGGGGACGAGTGTTGGGGAGACCACAGCCTATGCACTACACCAGACGTCATCACTGCGCGCGCGCACAGACACCACCACACTATACGACCAGTTGTAGGTCTGCCCCCGGCCTCCCCCTCCCTGTCCACTATCGGTGTGTTTAGGGCTAAACTCTTTAACTGATTGTGTTTTTTGTGATAATATTTTTCGGTGTTTCGGATAATGTTTTGTTTGTTTTGTTTTACCGTTTCATATGTTTGTATTGATAGGCGATTAATGTGAGCCCTGTTTGCCATTTATGGCACGTTTTTTGTGCTCTAGTTTTTAGGTCATACCTATGGGTAGAGACCTCTACCGGCGCTGACAGTCAACACGTGTTATGTATTGTGTTTTTTAAAGTTTTGCCGCATTTTTGTCGCCTCTTCAGCGATACTATCAGTTGATTAGTCCGCGGGTTATGTCTACCAGTGGTGACCATCGTTGACACCAAACCACTCTTTGCCCCGTAATGTCAGCGACCACTCCAGCGGACACGCCTTCCCAGTCATCGCAGGCCTCGTCGTCTGGTGTACACAATGGCAGCAATAGATCCCAGTCTTCCTCTTCGGCCACAAACTATTGCCAAAACTATTTCGATATCAACGATATACTGGCCAACAGTCAACGAGTTGTGTCCACTTTTGTGACTCGCGTCCCAGCGGTGGGACCGGTGTTGGACCCGACGGGCGATACGGCCGACGTGGAGGTCGGCTCCAAACTAGAGCTACCGCTTTGGTTGGCCCGCGAACTGCACTCCGAAGGGTTGGTCGACATAACGGTTCCGAAAGGCTTTAACCGAACCTATCGTGAGATTCTGGAAGCGGACGCCAATTGTGTTGATTTGCATAAACTCTGTCCCAACTATTACCGCGTCGGCCATCACTTGTCGCGTATGGGTCTCCACGAGTCCGAAGACATAGCGGCCAGTCTTGTGGAGACATTTCATCAGCGCTACCATCGGATTGTCAACTATTCCCAGTCGGCGACCAGCGATACCGTGCATCAGATCCAGCAGTTTGTGGGACAGCTGGACAACGAGGAGAAGCCTCTGTTCGCTGCGGGCAAACAGGCGTTGGATCAGATGAAAGAGTGGGACAATCGCGCCATCGAGAAGGTGACCGCTAACGAAGTGGTCGTCAATCTTCGTAAACGCAAACACATCATCAACAGCGACATCATTACCCCAAACGGGTCCCAGTCTTCGGGCGCCACCGCCTCCTCCGCCGCCAATTGAACGGCAATTCTCTATATTATTATTTAATTAATTGTAAATTTGTTTATTAATTAAGTTTATAATTATAAATGTATTTTTAATCAATTTTTCATATCAATTGAAAATGTTTTTGTGTTTTTACAAAAGTTATGGCAAATAAGTTGTCAAACTTTTTTTGTTCAACTCATATAACTTGTAATAACAATATATTTTTATTTATGTAATACTAATAATTAACTAATGATTAGGTAATTGAATATATAATTACATATTTAAGTAAATGATGATAAAAATGAATTTTAATTGCAAATCAATAATAATATGGTTGAAAGGGTTGTGAAAAAGTGGTTTCACATAATAAGTGGTTCGCCTTTGAGAGTGAGCTACTGGTATGAGAGAGAGAGAGAGAGCACAGACTTATCATATCATTGATATCACACACAGTATTGGCCCTGAAATACAAAGTGAAGGGCTTTTGGCAAACGGAATGGTAGGCAAAGGCTGTGCAAACCTAACCTAACCTCTCTCTCTCTCACTCTCTCTGTGCTCTCCCAATGCTTGACAGTGTGTACAGCGAGTGCTTACGTGCGATACTATGCGTATAGACTGTAGTACTGACTGAATGTAAACACAACACACTCTCACTCGCCATACAATACACAACCCATGCATTCACGCGACCAGACTGTCCACCGATGATCACCACATCCGGCGTCACGGCTGAGGCGGCCGTCACTCCACCCAAAGCTGACTCAGGTCTGCACCACATGTCGCCCATCTCTTCGCCATCGACGCCGCCGTCCTCTTCGGGCTCGTCGTTATCATCGCTGCCGTCATCGCCGGTACCGCCGCTGCCGTTGAGGTGTCGGGTGTGCGGCGCGACCGCCGGACTCAAGTGCTGTTCCAGATGTCGATCGGTGTACTACTGTTGCCGTCAACACCAGGAGCTCGACTGGAAAACACATCGTTTTGCATGCAATCAGTTGGTCGGCGGCCAACACAGGCCACGACCGCACCAGCCGTCGCCCCAACAACTACTTCAACAACAACACCATCACAACCAACAACAACTACATCGACAGCCAATGGACGCCGGCGTACGCGCCGTGTCTTACGCGACGACAACCGTTGGTGACACGAGCCTCGACTCGAGGCCTGACGGCCAGCACTCGTACGGCGAACACGTGTCGGATCTACTTATGACACCGAACGGCGGCGGACATCAACAGACTCTTGTGAATGGTGTGAACGCCATCGCCAGTGGTCACCAGCGACTGCCGCAACCGTCGCATACCGTAACGAACGGTACCATTGATAACAATAATCACCAGTCAATGATTGGCGGCGCGACCGCCACCACCACCTCCGCCACGATTCAGCATATGATGGCCCCAACGATGCATCGGTCGGCGGTGGCGGCGCCGCCTCACGACCTGATCCTAACAAAACTGAACAGTTATTGCGAGTCAATCGTACGGGACTTGAATGAGTTCGGCTTCTGTGTGATCGTTCTGTTTGGTTGGCGCAGAGGGACGGCGGAGTGTTACGGCTGTTCCCGCAGATCTCGTCGTGTGTGGCGGACATCGAGCCGAAGTTCAATCGAGTGATATTCTTCTGGTCAGACCGGCGTAACCCTCACGAAGTGATGCCGTCGTCGCGGATGCGGTTCGCGATCACCGTTTGGTACTTCGACGCCAACGAACGCGAACTCGCGATACAGCGCTACAAACAAGAGAGTAGGTGTCCTCAGCCGTCGGTGGCGGCCAACGCCCACCCTATAAGACATTCCCATTACTTATAGCACTACTATTACTACTATATTGTTATTTTTGTTTTGTTTATTTTGTTAAACTCTTTGCCTATTGTCTTCTTCCCCTTCTTATCGACACCACCTATAGGTCGTCTGTATCCGGTGGACAAAGACTTGCGTCCGTTTTAGCGACCGTTTTGTTTGTTGTGTTTTATATTGATTTTAATTACGATTATTATAATTTTGATTATAATTTTCTGTTAGACTTAAGTTATTATTAATTGTTATTCTATAATAATTTAATTAATAATTAGTTTTTGTTGTTGTAATTAAGACCGCGAATCGATTGATAATATAATTCTTATATATTTTTTTCTTATAATATTCTTGTTTTAAACCACAAAACAATATGTGATAACTGTTTGGACACCAAAACAGACCAAACGGTTGATAATATAATTTATAATCGATTGTGATTTCTCTTCCCGACTCTTATCGATACGCAAATCGATAGCAATTAACTGTTAATATAATTGAATCAATGTATGAAATAAATGAGAAAACAAAGTGAATAAAATTAAATTTATTATTAAAAACAAATTCAATTCTATGCAAGAAAAGAAAACAATATTTATATCAAATTTATCAAAAAATATCAGTCAAAAAATTATCAAAAAACACATTATTTGCAAACAATCCGTAAAATAATAATAAATCAAAAAATAATAATTAAAGCATTTAAAAAAAAAATAAACGTCTTATAGGCGAACATAATTAAAGCGACAATTATATGGCAGTGATTGTCATAATGTAATGATTAAGTGATTAAATAGTTATTTTTGAAAAACAAACAAATATCAAAATTATCCTCATATCATGACATGCGAAATGAAGAGATCAGAAAAAAACAAACTCAATACCAAAATATTACTTAATTTTTTATAACCAAAAAACTTGACGAATGATTGAAATAAACAAAATTTTTAAAAAAAACTTAAATGACTCAAATTAAAGAAAATAATAATAATAATGAGATGTTTGCAAATGTGTGACACATCCGAACGGTTCCGGGACTTAGAGATAGAAGAGTGAGTCCGAGAGTTTAGGGTTGGGCTCGCGATGGAGGGAAGTACCGGTCAAATACGCCAATTTGTGCGCGTACTGACACGGGGCCGGCACTCGGATGGTTCCCTATTACATGTCAAATAAGTGTCATTAAATCAATACAACAGAGAGAGAGAGAGAGAGAGAGAGAACGACACTTACGATCCAATTGTAGTAGAGATGAGTGAGTTTGTAGGCGAGCTGTTGGTGATGGTGTGGCTTCCAATTGGTATCATCTTTGATGATATTAAACATTGTCGGCGCAACGGTTCCCTGTCTTACGGACTGTGATATGAGATAAAAGTCGTATCGCTCGGGACGGGTAACAGTGGTGTCGATAATGGTTCCCGGCCAGGGGTTGTCGAACTGGCGTTCGCCTAACTTCAGCATAAATCGAGTGTTGATCCGTTTGGTGACAACAATGAACGACAACTTGATGGCAGCGGCCGCGTCGCCGATCTTCTTAATGGCGTCTTCGATCTGTTTCACCTCATAGTTGAAGACGTACTCGAGTTCGCCCTCAGACACGCCGTCGCGGTATATCACCAGTCGTTGCGGCAGTTTTTTGTTCAATTCGTAATACCGTTTCAGACCATCTGTTTTGGGGCACAAAACACACAAATAGTTAGAAGCCGTCAAAAAAAACAATCGCAAAAATATCTGTTAGACATTACTTGAGAAATTAGTGGTCAAATTTCCGGACAACTCTTCGCGATTGTCATGGAATGAGACCCGAGAATACCATTTGGTAAGCGTTGCGTTCGTGGAGCACACGAACCCTCCGAGTGCTTTACCGCGTTGACTGCTGTCGCGGTGCACATCAAAGCCAACAACCATCAAGTCTTTGGGCTAATCATTGGGCAAATAGTATTCAATCATTAATTAAAACAATACAAACGATGGCAACCACTGTATTAAGTGACTCACGGGAATGTCTAGAGCCCAGGCCTCGGCGCCGAGCTTACAGGCCATTTGAATGCCAACTTTGGTACAGACAGACATCAATCGTTGTTTATTATCAACCGTTTTCTTCACCACCACTTGTGAGGCCATCGGGTGGTCGAGACAGAAGATCTTCTTCACGGCGTCGTATCGCTCCTTATTATTGTTGGGCAGAACGAGACACACGATTTGAGTGTTGGCCGGAACCGCTTTGCACGCCTCCACGAACGTCGAGGTGCGGTCGTTGTCCAGCGCCACGACTGTCGGCCGATTCAGGTTAACGCCCAGCGGTCGACACACTCTGTTCAACGTATTGGCGAACTCGTCCACCGTTTGGCGGTCGCGCGCCGTCGCGATTATCGTCCAATCGCTGACTCGTATGCCGGCGAACATACCTTTGTTGCGGATCTCTTTACTAAAGTCGCCGCTCTTTTGGATAAACGTGGCGCCGGTCTGTGCGGTCTCGCCTTGCATTAGGATCTTCTCGCAGTCCAGTCGGCGGGCGTTGAACTCAATGGGCGTCGCGTCAAACGACAGACCCCACTGAGCCATCTCTTGCTTAATGGACTCATTGCCGGCAATGGTTCCCATAAATTGGTGCAAATTCTTGACGCGAGTGGTCGGATCCGTTTGCGTCTTTTGTGTCATCTGTCGGCGAATGTTAAAGTCGTTCTTCAAGGTCTCAGACAGACCCGTCATATTGCAGATCTCGGGTATGAGTAGAATGGGTCCGCTTTGGCCCGACCTCTCTTCGCGCGCCGACGGCAGACCGACCAGCAATGGCTGGCGTTCGTCGCGAATAGTGATATTGTATTGTTGTTTATAGTAGTCCTTAAGCGAAATGGGCGCTCCTTTGCGCTCAAAAGTATGGGTCGGGTTCTTGTCGAAGGCGATGTCGTCGACCCGATACGTGCGGTTGTTATGAGGCGTCAGTACAATACTTCCGGCCAACTCTTTGCGGGCGTTGTCCTGAAACGAGCCGCGATCGCGCTTCAGGATCTGCTGCAACGTCTCCAGACACGTGTCCGAACGGATCACTTTGTGAACGGTGTCGCACACCATCAGTACTCCGCCCGCGTGTTCATTGATGGCCGTCATCACGCCCTGCAATATCTCCAACCGATGCTCCGGTATCTTGTGTTTGATGTCCGGATGGAAGTAATGGCGACCGATTAGGTTCCACTTCAGGAGCTGCAGATTGCGCCGCATCTGCGTGTTGTACATCCGCATCATCTCTTGGGCGCCCCAAGCGATCTCTCCCGCGCGGCGCACTGTTATCCTAAACATAACACACATCACCATTAGCTCATCCCAACGCTATCATCGCCACTAATTGGTCTCTTACTTGATGTCGGCGTCGTCTGTGCGGCGTTTGGCGAAGTATTCGGTCTCTACGGCGGGCAATAGGTTTGTGGACTTTATGTTAGACATGCCGTCAAAGACCATAACATTGCCGAACGCCTCTTTGGCGGCGCCGAAGAGCATAGCCTTTCGCATGACTCGGGCCTCAACGTTGGGCTCAAAGTCCACGTGATAGTCATATATGAGCACATCTTTGGGTGTATTGAGTCGGAAATAGTTGGCCACAACTTTGACGGGAGCGCCGCCTTCGCCGCTCTTCACCTTCACGTGCGCTGGAATTGTACGCAAGAGCGCCGCTCCTCTATAGCCCGCCCGACCCCTAACCGAACCGCCTGTGCGTTCACAGAGAGAATGTGTTCGTTATAATCAGTCCATAAACGCGGCTATAAATGTGCAAACAGTGACACATACCCTGATCACCATTGCCTCCTCCGTTGCCACCGTTGCCGCCATTCCCTCCCTCGGACAGAGGGGGCGGCTCTGCGACGGTTGTGGGCCTATCAGTGAATGCAAATACACAGTCAATCAATCAACCAATCGATGGCACGAATTGTGGGTTGTATGCTCTCCATCACAAAAGTCGAATCGTATATGCCATTCGATAAAGGACACCAAGATGTACTTCCATATAAATTTTGGTCGAATTTCCAACGGCCGATTTCGAGATATTCGACTTTGTTGT